GAACAAACTGGTAGTTTTCTTGGGTTGAATTCCATGTAGTTACTGGTGATGCTTGAAGGCTAGAACAAACTGGTAGTTTTCTTGGGTTGAATTCCATGTAGCTACTGGTGATGCTTGAAGGCTAGAACAAACTGGTAGTTTTCTTGGGTTGAATTCCATGTAGCTACTGGTGATGCTTGAAGGGTAGAACAAACTGGCTGGGTGAAGAGGCGACGTGAATCTGTGTACACTCGAGTCGTTGTTTAGTTGGATTGGGTTCTGGTTGATTAGTGGACCGAACGGTGTCTTGTGTAATTGGATGGTGCTAAGTGATGTGGGGGGCTTCGGTTGGTAGTGCGTCTGAAGTTTTTAAAGTGGATATTGTCAATCTCTTGGAGTCTGTATCGTTGTGGTCATCAGTCTGGATTCTTCGGTCCTTTTTGGCAATCCTGGTCTGTGTTTATTGGTGTACAAGAAAGAGGTTGTCAGTAGAAGTAGAGGCGTCACACGTAGTTGATAGAAGTAACATGGTTGATAAAGATGACATGATTTGTGTCTGCCGAGAAGTTATCTGGAGGTTGGTTGTTTGAGTGCTAGAGTTTATTTTCACGGTTGTTTTACTGGAGCTGGTAGGCGGTTCTGTCTCGAGAGCGGGTGTGGTGGCGAGAACAGGATACTGTCGATTTTGATGTGTCGTGGGCTTGGAAGATCTGGTTATGGCATCGCTGTTTCTTGTGATTAGGCATCTTCCTGGTCTTTCGGCTGTGAAGTAGTAAGATAGGCCGTGAGTTAGAAGATATTGTTCTGTAGTTTTAGAATATGTGACTATTTTGATGAATGGAGTCAGTTGGCTTGTGATTCTTGATTTGATTCTGTGCACTGCGTTAGGTATGGCAAGGGGGCTATATTTGATGTCTTCAGGGAATATAAACAGATCAACGTTTCTCAGGAACACAGAAAAAAGTTGAGCATTATTTCGAGGTGGTTTACAAACTACTGGTGGGTTAGAGTTCCATGGGGCACATAGATAATATGAGTCTTAGGGGGTGAGAGGTTGAATAAAAATTCCTCCCCTTCTTAATAGTTTCGTCTTGGACAGGTGGATAGCGGCGTTGGGTTTGTATTTTCTTAGAAAAATATTTATCTGATTAAGGGAGAAATCGTTCGGGATGCCGCCAATAATGACGGGCGAAACGGTAGACAAACGTTGAGTGGGTTGCCTTCCCGCAGGGAAGTTAGCCACTTGGGTGCGGAGCTCGGTAAAACACGTCTTCATGGTTCGAAATTTCGTCAAGGAAACTCACTATGGTGGTGAGAACGACGGCATGGTAGGAATTTAAGTTAAAAGTATATTTCATTCCCCTTCGGGAAATGAAATATAACCAAGGACGATCAGAAACTTCTGTTTCTCTTCACCCCACTATATAATTAGAATTAAGTGGCAGGGGCTTTTAAGAATTGAATGCTTACATAAGTGATGGTTAAATAATTAATTTTCCTAGTGACGAAATCACAAGCAAGGGAAGAGGTGACGTGGAAACAAAAAAAAAGAAGGAAACCGTTGCTGAGTTGGGTGATGTCTTCGGAAGGTTTTCTTTTTTTCAGCAGGACTCTGTGCACGGATGATCTCGTGACGTCGGCTTAGGAGAACCGAGCGGTGTAGGGCAGAGCAGAGAGATGTGGACCATGTAAGTCCATTCTTGTTTAAGGTATTAAAATTAAGGTTAATTGAGACTTGTTGGATTCTTTATGAGGATTGGAACTTTAATGTCGGTAGTGACCTTTGATATTTGATTTAGCATGGGACGGTCCTTTTCAGGGCTGGGATCAAGGGATCCAAAGTATAAGGAACAATTTTGTTGTGGGGGAAATGGGAGTACCCCAAGAAAACACAGGGCTGGGATCAAGGGATCCAAAGTATAAGGAACAATTTTGTTGTGGGGGAAATGGGAGTACCCCAAGAAAACACACTTTCACTGGTACAGCGCTGAATGTTCTATCACACGAGTGCCCGAAGCTGTAAAGACAATCAGGCATGTATGGTTAGACATTATCATTCAAGGCTTGTATTATATTGAAGGGCGAGAGATATCTCGTGGGAGTCGCGTCGCGGCTAGTGATGCCAATTGATTTGTTAGAGATGCTCAGTTTATTGACTTTTTGAAGTATTTATCTGCGAGGGTTGATAGACGTTCTCTGACGTAGGGGATGTCGCCTGCTTTTTCTAGGTACACGTGAGGTGTGTAGTATGGGAGTCTATATGCTATTCTGGTTGCTAGATTTTCGGCTCTTTGTATATTATTGGGCTGAGTGTGAGATGCGTTTGTTGTCACTATGTTACCATAGTCTATTAAGGAGCGAATGTATGCTTTATAAAATTTCATTATTGTTTTCGCTCGGCAACCTTTAATTATGCCTCCTATCTTCTTCAAGTAATGGACGTGTTTGTAGACTTTGACTAAGACTGTTTTAAATGGTCTGACCAGGTTAATTTACTATTGTATGTGACTCCCAGAAATTTTGCAATTCTGGAGATTTTGAGTTCGGTGTTATTTAATTTTATTTTAAGTTTCGGGAGAGATTTGTCTTTACGAGAGATTGAAAGAATTTAAATGATATAGCTTGTGTTTTAGAGACACTACTCTCCATATATTACACCAGTTTGTTATGTGGTTCAGTGAAGTTCGAAGTTTGGAGGCTGGTAAAAGGGGTTCACGAGATGTGTTCCAGACAGTGATGTCGTCTCCGTACTGTGAATCGTGTGTTTGGGGAACGGTATGTCGTTTATAAACAGGATATAGAGCAACGGACTTGGAACGGAGCCTTGGGGGACACCTGCTGCTAACGTGACTGAATTAGATGCGGAATTATTGATTTTTAACCTGGCTTTTCTGTTGGACAGGAAGCTTGAAATCCATCTTGTTATTACTGGGGGAAACTAAAATTGTAGTAATTTATATTTTAGGCCTTGATGTCATACTGAGTCGAAGGCTTGCTTTACGTCTGGGGCTGGTATGGCCAGGTGGTAAGGGCACTCAACTCACACTCTGCGGGCTCGAATTTCCGTCACACCAAACATGCTCGCCCTTTCAGCCGTGGGGGCGTTATAATGTGACGGTCAATCCCGCTATTCGTTGGCGAAAGAGTAGCCCAAGAGTTGGCGGTGGATGGTGATGACTAGCTGCCTTCCCTCTAATTTTTCACTGCTAAATTAGGGACGGCTAGCGCAGATTGACCTCGTGTAGCTTTGCGCGAAATTCAAAACAAACAAACAAAATCCTTACGTCTAGGAAAACTCCTATCGTCGTGTGATTTTTGTTAAAACTCTGGATAACTGATTCGGTTAACCTGACTAAGTGATCGGCTGTCTGTCGGTTTTTGAGGGATGCATCTTGTATTTCTGATAGTAACTGGTTTTTCTCAAGATACCATGGTAGGCGTATTGTTATTATTTTTTCCAGTAATGTTAATCAGGCTGATTGGTCTGTAATTCTTGGGGTCATTTGTTGTGGGGCTGGTTTTAGGCATAATTTTGATTATAGCTGACTTCCATTGGGAGGGGTGATATCCCGAATAAAGGGACAAGTTGAACAGAGCTGTTAGGTGTTGTATTAATAGGTCTGATGCGTTTCTTAAGATTATGTATCGGATCCCGGCTTCGCTGGGTGCAGTGTTCTTCAGTGTTTTGATTGCTATTTTAACTTCTGTCTGTGGGATCTGTTTAATGATGATGTCATAATCTTCCAGGTATATACTTGCGTTGTGTTCTGTTGTGCACGGGAAGCGAGGTTGGAATAACTCTGGGTTGTTGTCAACGTACTGATTAATCTGAGTGAAGTGCTGATTGTGAAATTGCGGGGCTTCTGGCGTTCTAAATACTTGTTGATAATACTATGCTAGTAGGTTTGCTTTCTCTTGGTCTGATGTTGCTGTCTTGTTATTGTACTCAATGTTTGGTATGTTAATAGCAGATTTTTCATTACATATGCCATTAAATTTTTTTCCAGAATAAAGATGGGTCTTTGTGGGAGTTATCTAAGGAGGAGCAGTATTCTGCCCAAAGATGGGTCTTTGTGGGAGTTATCTAAGGAGGAGCAGTATTCTGCCCAAAGATGGGTCTTTGTGGGAGTTATCTAAGGAGGAGCAGTATTTTGCCCAGTTAATTTCCTTTTGCTTATGGATGAGGTTTCTTATGCGTTTGTTTAGTTGGTTGGCTCTGGATTTGGTCTGTGGGTCTAAAGAGTTTATATATTGTCTTCTTAGCTTGCGTCTATCTTTGATTAGGTTCCAGATTTCACTAGTTAGTTACCTTGAGTTAGGGTGCGAATTTACGGCTCATTTTGGAACTACTACTTCTATTGCATTAATTATGATATTAGATATGGTGGCGGCATACTGTTCTGTTGAGGTTTCATCTATTACTAATGTTTGGATGTCGGGTAGGTATTCATTGATGCTATTTCTGAAAGCTTCCCAATCTGTGGTTGTGAAATTAAATACTTTAGGTTTAGTGATGGTATTCTGCCAATTATTGTTCGAGAGGGTTATGGATATTGGGTAGTGGTCGTCACCTATACGGTCGTGTACTTTGAAGTTGCTTACTGTGGGACTTAAAACTATCGTTGTAATTGCTAAGTCTAGAATTTCTTGGCTTCCATTATTGTGCGTGTGAGTTGGTGTATTATTGTTACATAATATTAGATTCTGTTGTATTGTAATATCGTTAAGAATATTACCATTACGGTTAGTTGTTCTACAGCGAAAAATTTTGTGTTTTGAGTTTAGGTCATTATTATTGTGCGGGGGTTTTGATTGATGTCATAGTATAGCAACTCGTCGCTGTTCAGGATGTCGCCTGACGTAGCTCTGAGAACTACATCGGTAATGAAGGACACTATAAGTTGAATTAATACCCGGTGAGTTTGTGTCGACTGGGATGTTGGTGATCTCGACGTAGGATGCTTTCTGCATCGTCATGGCTGTCTGGGGGATTTCTGGAACTGCTGGCAGAGTAGGCTGGTTCTGGCTTGGGTTTGATGGTATCTGGTGATATTGTGCAGTCACCGTAAGTTTCTTCATCTGAATGAGTATTCCTCTTGAGGGTGATGACCTGAGAATACTTGGGGCAACCTCTGTAAGATGCCGCGTGTGGACCTCTGCAGTTAGCACATGTTTCTTCTCTCTTCTTGGGGCAGGCGACTACCCAGTGTAATTCCCCACACCTGACACATCTTGGGGATGCAGTGCAGACAGCTCATACATGACCAAACTTTTGACAATTAAACACTGAAGCACTTTAATCGATGTTGACTGTGTAACTCCGGTCTTGATCATGATGTTAACTTGCTCAACGTTTTCAGGTTAGACGGATTAGTGGTGTTGGCTGTCCTGTATTGGGTGATTTTATTCTGTTGACGTTGGTGACTTCAATCCCTTGGCTGATTACTTCGCTTTTTATTTCTTCAGGAGATATGTCTTGATCGACGCCTCTGATTACTATTGCCTTGGTGGGCACTGGTTCTCCTGGAACGTGGACATTCATAGATGCGCCTCCAAAGGCGTTAGTGGGCTATGGCTTGAGGAGTTTTGAGTAATCCTTGGGCTTTTTGCATTTTATGACTAGTCCTCCACGGGCTAAACAGCAGACTTCAGAAAATGTTGTTTTTGGGAACAGTGACTTCAGCTACTGGGCTATTTGCAGCTGATGGTATGTGGTTGGTATACCTTCAACGATAATGGCTGGTGGTGGTGCTGGCAGCTTTGTGATCTGTTGTTTTCTCGGTTACCTTGTTTGTGTCGTTGTTGTGGATAGTGTTGTCTGCTGGCATCTTTACTGTTGCTGTTGGGCTGGTCTGTCTTTTTCGTGGGAGAATCCTGGTTGCTGAATGATGTGTTGCTAGAGTCCGAGTCGTGGGTAAACGATGCGTCTGAGATATTCATTTCCTCTTCGATGGATGCCAGTAACTTGAATTGTTAGGCGGTTGAAAGCAGAGGGCCGCCGGCTCTCGTTCTCATTGTGAGGATCGGGTTGATCGATAGTCCTGTTTGAACTATACTTGGTCAAATCTTAACGAAGTCTGACTAAGTGATAGTTAGCGTAGTAGCCTGAATACTATATAAGAACTTGCTAGGGTTATTTGGACTTATTTACGAGATGATCAGATTTCTTCAAGAGCGTGTCTCATTTCCGGTGCAACACGTTTGGAAACGAGGGTGGTATGTAAAAAAGTGTTAGAGATGTTTTGCTTTACAAATGGTCAAGAAAAACTATAATAAAGGTGACACATGGAGATTGGCTGAAAAAGAAATGTAAAGCAGATCAATTTCTAGCGACAGGCATGAAAAAGCATCACAAATATATTGTAAGTATTTGAAAGATTAGTAGTAAACATAAAATATATATATATATATTCTAACA